GCCTGGGGGTGAGGAGCCTGAGGGAGCTGGGCCTGCTGGTGCTGTGCCTGGCGGTTCTCCGGGTGCTTCTTCTCGCCGGGAGCCACTCTCTCCACAGGAGCTGCGTGAGTGGTTTGCCCGGCGCTGGAGGCGAGCTGCTAGAGCTGGAGGAGCTGCGGGTACTGGAGTTTCTGTTGCTGCTGAGGGAGCTGGTGCCACGGGTCCCGGAGGTGCTCGTACTGGGCGTACTGGACCTGCTGGACCTGCGGGTACTTCTGGAGCTGGAGCTGCTGCGGGTGTTGGCGCGGAGGCTACTGCTGTCGGTCCTGGAGGCGGTCCTGCTGGGGGTACTGCTGGTGCTGCTGGGGGTACTGGAGCTGGAGCTGCTACTAGTGCTGGTGCTGCCACAGGGGGTGCTGGTGCTGTCCCTGCTGTGTCTGGAGTCGCCGCGCGGCCTCGGCCGTACTTCGTTCCGCTCCTTAAGCAGGTTCTTGGTCTCCCGTCTTCTACTGGTCCTCCTCCTCCCTTAGAGTGTCCACAGCCTGTCCCGTCCCAGTTACAGTTACAGCCGGCCTCCCCACTGCCTGCTCCGTCTCCCTACACTGGTCCTACTGGAGGTCTTGCTGAGCGTCGTGAGCCTGCGTCTCGCCCTGCGTCGCCTGTCCGTGCTGCTCGCACTAGTGGTCGCGGTTCGCGTCAGCGTCCTCCTCCTGTCCCTGGCACGCACCGGATGTCTCTGCGTCCGTCCACTGCTCCTCTGCGTGCCCCTTTGCCTTCTCCTCCTGAGTCTTCTCTTCCTGCTCTTGCCGACCCGGAGTCGGACTCTCTTCGTGCTGCCAGTCCTACTGTCACGCGTCTCCTTGCTACTGTTGTCACTGACCCTTCCTTTGAGTCCACTGCTGCGTCTGCCCTAGTTGCTGAGCTCGTCGACTTTGCTGCTCGCTGTCGCCTAGACTACGTCGCCAGTCTTGTTGCTGAGTCTGAGTCTGTCTGTCCTCCGTCCGTCGGGGGTGAGTGTGCCCTTGGCACGGACGTCCTTGAGGACAGGCAGGAGGAGTTCCAGTGCTTGGCCGCTGCTTCACCTCATCTCGTGTCCGTACTGCTTACCCCTGAGGGAGACCCGGATGCACTTGACATCCCGACTCCGCGCTCTTACGCGGAGGCGATAGAGGGTCCCTACTCCTCTCAGTGGCAGGCAGCTATGGACGCAGAGATGGCTTCCTGGAAGTCCACAGGCACCTACGTTGACGCTGTTCCCCCTCCTGGGGCGAACATCGTCAGTGGCATGTGGATTTTCAGGGTGAAGCGGCCGCCGGGTTCTCCGCCTGTCTTCAAGGCGCGTTACGTGGCTCGAGGCTTCAGTCTGCGGCAGGGAGTTGACTACTTTCAGACCTTCTCTCCCACCCCGAAGATGACCACTCTTCGGGTACTGCTGCACGTAGATGCTCACCGTGACTACGAGCTACACTCTCTTGACTTCAGCACTGCTTTCTTGCAGGGCAGCCTGCACGAGGAGATCTGGCTGCGTCGCCCACCTGGTTTCACTGGGTCTTTTCCTCCTGGCACCCAGTGGAGCCTACGGCGGCCAGTCTACGGTCTCCGCCAGGCACCGCGTGAGTGGCACGACACACTGAGGACTACACTTGCGGCTCTTGGGTTTGCTCCCTCTACTGCCGACCCGTCGCTGTTTCTGCGCACCGACACTTCTTTGCCGCCGTTCTACATCCTCGTGTACGTCGACGACTTGGTCTTTGCCACAGCTGACACTGCTGGACTCGCCCACGTGAAGTCCGAGCTGCAGAAGAGACACACGTGCACAGACCTGGGTGAACTGCGCAGCTACCTTGGCTTGCAGATCACTCGGGACAGAACACGCCGCACCATTACCCTGACTCAGTCACACATGGTGCAGCAGGTCCTTCAGCGCTTCGGCTTCACGTACTCCTCGCCTCAGGCCACTCCTCTGCCTACTCGCCACTCGCTCTCAGCTCTGCCTTCGGATGAGTCCGTAGAGTCGAGTGGCCCGTACCCAGAGCTTGTTGGCTGCCTCATGTACCTGATGACCTGCACACGACCTGACCTTGCATACCCTCTTAGCATTCTCGCACGCTATGTTGCTCCTGGGAGACACAGAGCGGAGCACATGGCTGCAGCGAAGAGGGTGTTGCGCTACTTGTGCAGTACGTCGGGCATGGGGCTTGTGCTTGGAGGGCAGAGTCCGGTGGTCCTTACTGGGCACGCAGACGCTTCTTGGGCTGACGACCAGGCTACGCAGCGGTCGTCACAGGGTTACACCTTCAGCCTTGGTTCCGGCTCTGTTTCGTGGCGGGCTACTCGCTCGTCTTCTGTTCTCGGCTCCAGTTGTGAGGCTGAGATCTACGCAGGAGCCATGGCTGCACAGGAGCTTCGCTGGCTCACCTACCTGCTGACTGACCTCGGAGAGCCGCCTCGTTCTCCTCCAGTGCTGTACGTAGACAACAAGGCCATGCTGGCCTTGTGTCGGGAGCAGCGACTGGAGCACAGAACGAAGCACATTGCTCTCCGCTACTTTCTTGCTCGTGAGCTGCAGCAGCGTGGTCAGCTGCGTCTTGCGTACGTGGCCTCTGAGGCCAACACTGCTGATATCTTCACCAAGGCGCTTGCGCCTTGTGACCATCAGCGCTTCTGTACTCAGCTGGGCCTTGTGCCTACCTTGCCTCACTTGCTCACCTCTTGACCTTGCTTGTACTGTTACATTTATATATATGTACTCCTGCATGTGAACTGGCCTTGTGGCCTTGAACTTGTGCTCGGAATGTGTGGTGACTTTGTGATCCACCCTGAGCTTGCTTTGCTTTGCTTTACTTGACTGGTCTTGTGACCCCTTGTTCTCCCCCACTTTGCCTATGGGGGTGTGTCAGAACATTATAGCTCATGCATATTGTGTAGGCTATAGTGGGGTAGCCCATAAGGGGTACAACCCAATTAGGGTTATTACTTGTACCCAATTCATTCATAGTTCATCCATTCCTTGTTTCTTCTCAGGCAGAACGGCGGTACGTACTGTTGAGCTTGATGTTTGTTCTGTCGATTGTTGTTGTTGTAGCGCCGTTGAGTGTGAAACGCGAACTCAGGTGCTGACGCTCTTTTCTTGTGTCGTTCTTCATGTAGGTCCATACCCTCCTGCTTCTCAGCATGTATCTCAGTGCAGAGGGCTGCTTCGGAGATCTTTCCATGGGCTCGAAGGATCTCGAGTGGAGCGCCAATGAGGACCGAGGCCAGTGATGACAACTGTAACGAAGGCTTCTGCAGATATCGATCCACTGCATCGAAGGAGTCTATTGCGTAGTCCGCGGCAAAGGCTGATATACGCCATTCCCTTTTCGACTGGTTTCATTTCCACTGTTATCAGTTGTGCCATGAGACGACTCTGATTAACGCTGTCTGTTGCCTGATACAGGTTCTTCAGGTGGTTGTACGCGAGCTCGGCGGAGTTGCCATATCCACGATAAGACCGGATGTTCTGCTGCTCGTTCGGCATTATGTTTCGTAGCAGGATTATGTATGCCATCAGCGACTGATATGTATACTGCTGCTTGTCGTACTGTGCTCCGTGCATTGGGTATGGCAGGGAGCCGTCAAAGAATCCAAGGATTTGCGCGCCCTCCATCATCAGATCGAACTCGAATGACCAGGTATAAAAATCTTTGCCGTCGAACGGTGTTGATGTCTGCAGTTTCAGAACGTGTGCAAACTGCGACTGTACTTGAAGCGCGTCCAGTGTCTTCTCTTGTCCACGTGGAGGCTGATGTGGCATGAAGCTGATGGAGCCGCGTTGAGGCTCGTATGGAGCAAAGGTAGGTTGCTGCTGATTTCCGCGCGCATAGGATGAGCCGTCAAGACTCATGGGTGTAACACCATTGTTGTTGTCACTGTTGTTGGATTGCGCAGGTGCCGTTTGCTGGTGTTGCTCGTAGAACGACATGAAGGAGAAGAACTTCTCCATCATGCTTGGGTCGATGCCGGTCGCCTGGTTCGCAGGAGTTTCAATAATTTCAGCAGCTGGTCTTATTACTGTACCTCCCTCTCTCTGTAGGCCAGAGGCTGGAGGTGGAGTAGGAGTGGTGCCGGGAGATCCGTTAGAGGAGCCTCTCTCCTTCTGTGTTGCCATGCCTTCTGTTGTTGTAGGAGATTTGAATGAAGTTGGATCTTGCCTTGTAGCTCTCATACCATGTTTGGCTGAAAAAAGCCCTTAGGATCTTTTCAAGGCTAAGACCCTGAGTAGGAATGTTGTATTGCAGAAGCGCTCTTAGTGAACTGTTGAACCAACCTGCACTAGTGTGTGAGAGCAAGACATGGATTATAGCAAAGTAATACAAGCTTTTATATGATTACAAGGAATATGAAAAGATGCAACCAACTGTTTTACAGTTGCTGTTGCGGTTCGATACAGTGACGACTCGGGCAATTGCTCAATACCGAGTCAGTTGTTTGTTCTTGCTGTCGCGCTCAGGGCCCAAAATTGGCCTAGGCCCACCCTGTCTAACCTGAGTTGAGCCCCGTCTCACCCTGACTCTCTAGGGTAAAATTTTCGCTAGACTGACGAATACAGTGTAAAAATTTTCCCAGCCTGATGGCGTCAGTGTAACTAATTCCAAAGACTGATTTACAGGGTACTTTTTTTGTTGCACTGACAGTAAGTGGCGGTGACTAATGAATTATAATTATAGCAATGGCAATGCTTCTCACATGCAGTTATTCACTTCACTCAGAGCTTGACAAGCTACTCTGCAAACCACCACTGTCGCCCACAAACTGGGTGTCGCTCTCCCTGGTCCCATTGAAGTCTGTGGTGGGGCGCCTGAACTTCTCACCCCTGAAAATCGCCACCACCTCGAACCAGTCAATGTCGTACTGGAGCAAGGAGCAGCGCATAAGATAGTCGAGGCTGCTGTCAGAGAGGCTGCCGCGGTCCCAGGTTTTGATCAAATTCTGCTTGCTGAAGCCTCTCTCACACTCGACAGTGCTGAGAGGCAGGACCGCTATTGCTTGCCAGAGAGCATGATGTTGGGGAAGGACCGCTGCCATGAATCTCCGCGCAGCATGTTGGCAAGAGCTTGGTGGAAGTCTTCATTGTGATGCTGCGAAAACATGGTACTCGTGAACATCCACAGCTCTGCGCGCGCTTTGCTGTAGTTGAACCCTGTTGATCGGGGGAAAAAGTACAATAAGAAACTCAAAGAGGGTGGGAGGAGAGTGCGGTTTTAAACCAAACAGCCGAGCAAACAACAAAGTACGACTACAACCACACACCATCAATCACCCAAGAAATCCAACCGCAAACAGTCTTCAAGCATGGTACGGATTTCGTACCAGGGAGTGCATCGTGGTAGAGCTTGTGGAGTTGCTGCAGCCATCGTTTGAAGGCAGCGAGGCGCTTGTCATCGTCTGGAAGGTATGAAGCTGTATCAAACAGCTTCGCGCCTTCCAGGTTCTTGAAGTCACGATACCGCCACTCCAGCTCCTCGTCCACTACGCGCACGAACTTCAGCGAGAGTTCATAGCAGGCAGCCACAAGGCCTGGAGTTTCCTTCCCCTCAGAGTCACGTTCGTGTAGGTCGAATTTGAAGGTGACCGGATTTCCCTCGCCATCTACCCCTTCGGCCTTCATCTCCCGCTTCTCCTTCGATTGGTGTTTCTTGATGAACTCTGGAAGGCGCATCCTCTCCCCGCTCCCGAACTGGTGGCCTTGTGGACTGCTGTTGTAGCGAGCCTTCAGTCGCATCCGCGTCTGCTCGACGAGACGGCCCACCAGCGTGATGTCGATCTGTAAATGCTCAACACGCTATGTCAGTACGGGAGAAATACAACATGTCCGCAAATTTCAAAGAGAGCTATCACATCATACCTTTCTCTGCTGGAACCGGAAGTTGAGCGTGTTGAGCTCCGACAGCACATCCACCAAAAACCGAAGGAGCCAGTGGAATTTGAACGAGGTGACCACCTCGTACAAATCCTGGCGGTACTCCTTCAGCAAGACAATAGCAGTAGGCAACACGTCCAGCAGGCGCTCCAGTGCCTCCCCACGTGACAGCCAGCGCGCGTCGAAGATTCCTTGCGCCTCGAGGTTAGTCTTGCAAAACACCTGCTGCTGATTCTGGAACTTCTGGTACTTGACACCACTTCGCCTGAGAATGTTCGAGAATGCGTGGACCACCTCGTCCACCATGCTCAGCTCCGGGACCGCTTCAGCTGCGTCCTTGGCGGCAAGTGCCTCCCTGCCACAAGGTAACCAACCACGTTAGTCAGATGAGCACAACGATTAAGCACACTGCAGTGTTTATTTACCATGCAAATTGGTGACCTACCGATGGGCGATGCAGTGCGTCGAAACAAGATGTGGAATCCGCGATCTGAGACGGGTCGCGACGCCAGAGTTCTGCCCCGCCATGACACTGGCCCCGTCCGTTGAGAGTGCACTTATTTTCTGCAAGTCAAGTCCAGTTTGCGTCAGATACTGCACGAGAACAGACGTCAGCGATGCAGCATCACATCGGTCAACTGTGAGCAGCGTGATGAACTCGGTTACTGCCTCCCTATCTTTGAAGAATGTTACGTAGACAATCAAATGCTTCCCGTGAATTCTGTCCGTGCTCTCGTCGATCGCGAGGCCGATCCAAGGGGAATCAAGGAGGTGCGACCGCTGTGATTCTTGCAGGTATAAAGAAATAGCCCGCAAGTTCTCTTTGAAACCATAACTGCACAGGGAAACATACACAATTTACATAAGTACTACAGTTTGCCTCAACTCTCCACTCGTAACGTCCTGCTTAGTCCTATCATCTATCATACCTTCTCGTCATTCCTGCCCCACCTGCCACACCACTCACTGTCTCACAGCTTCTTCTCTTCTTACTCGCCCTACCCTCCCCTCCCCTCCCCTCCCCTCCCCTCCTCACAGCGGGTCCACAGGTGGTAGTGTTGGACATGCTGTAGGGCAAGGAAGCAACCACACCGCTCCCCCACTGCGCTCCCCCCAGTGGCGTCAGTGACATGGCACTCGCGGCCGCTGTACATACTGGGCAACCACCAGAAGGCCGTCACGTGCCTTCACACGTTCACACGCCTGGTCCGTGGCCAGACGGAAGAGGCTGCGGTGGCTGCTGCTGCTGCTGCTGCTGCCGCAGTCGTGTCTCTTGTTGATTTATTTCATTGCTCCTGCCGTTTTCTCCCTGTCTTGTGCGTACACTGCATCCATGCATGCTGCACCACATGCACCATTCACCACGTGCTGCCCTCCCATCCTCGCTTTCCTGTTCCCCATCAGTCCCATCCGCTTCTTTTCTTTCCTACAACATCACCACACATGGGGATGGCCATCTAGGCCATGTGAGCCATGTGGCAATGCTGAGACGCACAGTGCAAAAGCGTGCATGTGGTACCACAGGGCAAGCAGCACCGCATCCCACTCGCCTCGCCCAACATCCCGATCCCCATCCCTGCAACCCCCCTCCCATTTGCATGCACGCCAGACAGAGGAGCAGTGCAAGCGCGTGCATTTGGCCGGAGAGTGAGAGCATGGAGAGTGAAGGGAGGCAAGTGTGTAACATGATGAGAGGCAGCGAGAGTGGAGGCAACGAGAGCAGAGTAACATGGGCATGCTCCATGATGCCTTGCATGGCAGCAGGGAAGCAGTGGCACATCAAGGCCTGGTGATCATGTGGCAGCGCCCCACATGGTGGAGCACTATCTAGTGGCTCCCGGTTGCTACGGCAGTGCATGAGAGCCCCTGGCGGTACATCTGGCGGTGCTTCTGGCATTGCATTCCACCTGCCTCCACCACTCTGCATTCTCCTACACAGGCACACCACCACCCTGCAGTAACCCCCAAGCCCCTCCGTCACAGTCACACCTCCCCACCTTTTCTCTCCCATCCCTACCACACCCTGCTCGCTGTATCTCTCCTCCCCAGAACCACCCTCTTCATTTCAACTTCTCTGTCCATCATTGGGCTCGCCTCTCGCCTCAGCACCCCTCACCGCGGCCCACCACTCTCTTCCCTCCATCTATCTGCCCCCATCATCCGCGCTACAGCACGTTCCTCATCCCCATCCTGCACATGGTGCCCGACCTTAGAGTGCAGCATGTCGCCGCCACGCCCACGCTGCAGCAGGGGGTACGTAAGGGGGGGGGGGGTGGAGGGGGGAGGGTACGTGCTGAAGGGCGTTGCTCTTTCAAGGCAGCTTTGTTTTCTACTTGTGTTTGTCTTTCCTCCCATGTCCAAGCTGCAGTAGGGGTTACGTACACTTTGCACATGGGAGGCCAAGCTCCCATGTCCAAGCAGCAAGCTGCAAAATCCAGGGAAGATCTTCTTTCAATTTGTGTTTGTCTAACGAATTCTGCTGCTGCGTTCCCGCTTGTGCCTGTTTTTGTTTTCTGGCTCCTCCACACCCTGCAATGCCCCCATGCTTCCTTCCATTCACCCCCTTCCTGCTCTCCCCCTTTTTTTGGCCTCTTTGACTCTCCACCACCCAATCTATCAAACCCCACAGACGCCCCCCTCCCTTCAAACCCCTTCTCCCCCCCTCGCCCCAGTTCTTCGAGGGAGGAGGCATGGTGGAGGATGACGTGGCTGTGCTCTCATGTGTGCCTTCGCCTAGGGATCGGGGTTGGGCTGGGGATGGAAGGGTTGGGTGGGGGTGTTGGGCTGACAAGAGCTCCAGAACATGCCCAAAATTGTCATCAGAACATTCTCCATATTACCGTATCAATTGGTGCAAAATTGCTCCCCAAGTTCAGAATACCCGAGCATAACTGCAGCGCTCCAGATATAAGCGCATTCGCTCATCATAAGCCTACGCTTATATCCGAGTTGATACGGTATATAAGACAGCAAATAACTGAGGCATGGTAGATTGCATTGCAATTGCAGTAGTGCAATGGTTGCAGCTGGCACATTTCTACTGTATTTCCTAAACGACAATTGCACTGAAATTCGGTAGCAAACATGGGGCATTAGAGAGATCAGATTTGATCCTCCGTGACAATCATATCGGGGAAGCTGTCTTCAATCCAGCCTGCTACGACCTCAGATGCCGTTGCTATCACCTTGAGGCTATGGAGCCCTTTGAGCCAGATGACACATTTAGCAGTGACGTTGGCCCTCCAAAGCCCCAGCTTCTCCAGCCGTGGAAAGTTCCTCAGGAGCTTCATGCTGGAATTGGTCACACCAGTAGGCATGCTGAAAACCTTCAGGGAGGAGAGAGCAGTCAGTTGCTTCAACCCGTCATCCCTCACTCCACTGGCATTCAGCCAGAGGGACTCAAGTGATGTCAGTTTCCCCACGTGCACCATGCTGGCAGAGGTGACCGACTCACAGCCATCTAAGCCCAGTCTCACGAGTGCAGGCAACCCCCGCAGCTTCGCTACTCCTGCATCAGTAATCTTAGTACAAGCAAGATAAAGTTCGTTAAGACCTTTCAGGCTGCTGATACCTTCCAAAGAAGAATCCGTTGCATTTGTCTCCGCCAGATTCAGCACCGTCAGTCCTGTGAGGGAGAAGAGCTGAGTCACCCCCTCAAGAGTGAATCTGGAGTCGTCACTAAGGTCAAGCGACGTGAGAGCATGAAAGGAGAAGAGTTGAGTGAAAGCATCGTTGGTGAGGTAGACGTCGCTGAGGTCCAGGTGAGTCTCGTCCGGAGAAACTTTGTTCCACAGCATCATCAGTGTCTGTAGCCACATATAGCAGCAAAAACACAGGCGGTGAGATGTGAGAGAGGGTGTTTCAGCGTCAGACACAGCAAGGAGAGCAGCAGTGGAGCAGCGAGGGGAGCAGCAAGAAGAGCGGCGGAGAGAGGAGCAAGGAATACAAGGCGGGCGGCATGGGGAGCAGCAAGGGGAACAGCAAGGAGAGCAGCAAGGCACCCATCCCTGCCACTGCAGTATTTATATATGAGAAAAAACGACCATCTAAACGGCAAGGACAGGAGGAAGGCAGAGGAGCAGGGGATAGGAGCAGGGGACAGGAGCAGGGGACAGGAGCAGGGGACAGGAGCAGGGGACAGGAGCAGGGGACAGGAGCAGGGGACAGGAGCAGGGGACAGGAGCAGGGGACAGGAGCAGGGGACAGGAGCAGGGGACAGGAGCAGGGGACAGGAGCAGGGGACAGGAGCAGGGGACAGGAGCAGGGGACAGGAGCAGGGGACAGGAGCAGGGGACAGGAGCAGGGGACAGGAGCAGGGGACAGGAGCAGGGGACAGGAGCAGGGAACAGGAGCAGGGGACAGGAGCAGGGGACAGGAGCAGGGGACAGGAGCAGGGGACAGGAGCAGGGGACAGGAGCAGGGGACAGGAGCAGGGGACAGGAGCAGGGGACAGGAGCAGGGGACAGGAGCAGGGGACAGGAGCAGGGGACAGGAGCAGGGGACAGGAGCAGGGGACAGGAGCAGGGGATAGGAGCAGGGGACAGGAGCAGGGGACAGGAGCAGGGGACAGGAGCAGGGGACAGGAGCAGGGGACAGGAGCAGGGGACAGGAGCACGGGACAGGAGCACGGGACAGGAGCAGGGGACAGGAGCAGGGGACAGGAGCAGGGGACAGGAGCAGGGGACAGGAGCAGGGGACAGGAGCAGGGGACAGGAGCAGGGGACAGGAGCAGGGGACAGGAGCAGGGGACAGGAGCAGGGGACAGGAGCAGGGGACAGGAGCAGGGGACAGGAGCAGGGGACAGGAGCAGGGGACAGGAGCAGGGGACAGGAGCAGGGGACAGGAGCAGGGGACAGGAGCAGGGGACAGGAGCAGGGGACAGGAGCAGGGGACAGGAGCAGGGGACAGGAGCAGGGGACAGGAGCAGGGGACAGGAGCAGGGGACAGGAGCAGGGGACAGGAGCAGGGGACAGGAGCAGGGGACAGGAGCAGGGGATAGGAGCAGGGGATAGGAGCAGGGGATAGGAGCAGGGGATAGGAGCAGGGGATAGGAGCAGGGGACAGGAGCAGGGGACAGGAGCAGGGGACAGGAGCAGGGGACAGGAGCAGGGGACAGGAGCAGGGGACAGGAGCAGGGGACAGGAGCAGGGGACAGGAGCAGGGGACAGGAGCAGGGGATAGGGGCAGGGGATAGGAGCAGGGGATAGGAGCAGGGGATAGGAGCAGGGGATAGGAGCAGGGGATAGGAGCAGGGGATAGGAGCAGGGGACAGGAGCAGGGGATAGGAGCAGGGGACAGGAGCAGGGGACAGGAGCAGGGGACAGGAGCAGGGGACAGGAGCGGGGATAGGAGCAGGGGATAGGAGCAGGGGATAGGAGCAGGGGATAGGAGCAGGGGATAGGAGCAGGGGATAGGAGCAGGGGATAGGAGCAGGGGATAGGAGCAGGGGACAGGAGCAGGGGATAGGAGCAGGGGATAGGAGCAGGGGATAGGAGCAGGGGATAGGAGCAGGGGATAGGAGCAGGGGACAGGAGCAGGGGACAGGAGCAGGGGACAGGAGCAGGGGACAGGAGCAGGGGATAGGAGCAGGGGATAGGAGCAGGGGATAGGAGCAGGGGATAGGAGCAGGGGATAGGAGCAGGGGATAGGAGCAGGGGATAGGAGCAGGGGATAGGAGCAGGGGATAGGAGCAGGGGATAGGAGCAGGGGATAGGAGCAGGGGATAGGAGCAGGGGATAGGAGCAGGGGATAGGAGCATGGAGAATGGTCAAACCAGTGCAGGGCAAGGAGGAAGGCGAAACAAAAGGTTGCGACTCGGAAGGGAGATTGGCATGCACCTGCGCACAGCAGCGTTAAAGAGAAACAAGTACTCAGCAGCACAGGAGCAGTAGCCACCAGAAGACATTCAAGTACTCACCTCCCACGTCTTGCCTTCAACCCCCTGCTCCCTCAGCTTCGCCTCCAACGCCGCCACGCGCTCCCCGTCGCCGCCCGCCATCTCCTCCCTCTTCATTGTCACTACGCCGTTCACGCTGGAACGCTGGCTGACTGGACTGGTACCGTGGGTACGCCGTTCGCACTAATAGTGCTAGGAGTAGATAACTGCTCTGACCAATCTGTCGGTTGAAAGATCAGTAAAGGTGGGGTGTGAAACGTCCAGCCGTGGTGGCGCCGTACTAGGATAGGATGGACAGAAAGGGGCAGCAGAGATTGAAGTGGTGAGATGAGAGCGCGATGTTCGTTTTGCCAGCTGCGTTCGAATTCGCCGTTGGAAGATCCGACAAAAGCCTCTAGCCCAACGATCATTTCAACCTTTTCAGTACTGTCCCATACCAATGTTGAACACAAAAGAACTGTGCGCCCGTGAGTTAGGCTGGCTTACCACCGCGAAAGAAGCCAAGTGACGACCCAGTCCTGACCCAGCCTGCTGAACCGACTCTCGCCATCATCGACGCCCGAGACGAAAACGGGCACAGAGTATTCGCGATAAGAGCCAGAGGAGATACTCATCAGCAGCCACGTCAGAGCAGATCATCGTCGAGGGCCCAGCACCCCATGAGACGCGTACCAAGCACCCGCGCGGTCCCAGGTTCCGGCCCACTTGTGGCGTCGCAGTGGGGGGGCGCCGAGGTTACTAGGCCTTCAGTGAGCCCCCAGTCGTCCGCATCCCGTCAGTTCACGAAGGAGCGCAAAGCCCCCCCGTAGCCCGTAATTCCTCCTCGCGCAACAGCTCCGCCGAGATCCACTCCTCCCACAACTCGTGGTTCCTCTTCTTCTTTCCCAGCCCCAGCGGCGGCGGCAGCGGCGGCGGCGGCGGCACAGGCACGTGTTTCCGTGGAAGATAGGACTCACCGCGCAGCCCGCACGTCGTTCCGCGCGACCACCTGGGCAAGTGCTGGGGGCGCAAGCGGCGCACGCGGAAGCGGGGGGGTGCCAAGGGCGGAAGTGGGGGCGGTGTGGAGCAAGAAACTGCCAGCGGCGGGCGGAGGAGATCCGGGGGCTGGAACGATTGACGCAAGTGGCGCTGGGACGGACAAGGTGTCCGGGGGAACAGCAAGCGCTGGCGCGGGAAAAGGGGGGACCGGCGGTGGGGCTAAGAGCGTGGAATCCAAATCAGAAGGGGCACAATTCGGGAAGGATTCAGGAATTGGGGGACATGCGGGAAGGGCAAAGGTTGTGGAGAGTTTTGGTATTAACAGTGGCATGACGAGCAGCAGCAATAGCAATAGCAGTAATGGTAACGGAGATGAGAGTGGCGAGCGCGAGAGGTCGGGTACAGGCGGCGGTGGTGAAGGGTCGGGCAAGGGAGGGTGGTGACGCAGGCACTGCCAACAACAGCAGCAGCACTCTCATCTGCTCTTGCTACGTCTGGCGCTGCCACATCTGCTGCGGCTGCTGCTGTTGGCTGTGCTGGCAGTGGCGGTAGCGGCGGTAGGGCGGCGGGGAGGGCTGCGGCGGCGCGCAGTTCGTTGTGTGGGCATGAGGCGGATTTTGAACTTCTGCCGCAGTGGATGAGCCAGGTGGGGTGTATGAGACGAGGGAGGTGCAAAAGGGGAGGGGGGGTTTTTGAGGCGGGGGATGTTGGGGGGTTCAGAAGGCAATAACGGGGCAACGGGAAGGAATGATGTGAGTGGATACGAAAGCTTTGTCAAGCTGTTTTGATGTGAGTGGATTCTGAGGGAAAAGCGGCGCATGTGGAAAGGAGGCGAAGGGAGAGGGGGACCAGGAGACAAAGGGAATGCGAGGGGAAGAGTGTGAGAAGGTGGGTGGTGGGGTGTGGAGGTGAGGGTGTGGGATGGCTGGAGTAGTCGAGGTCATGATGAAGCGAGAGGGAGAAGATCTTGGCTCTGGACAGCTGATCGCATTGGCAGAGAAATAAGGGAGGGGTGGGGGTGGTGTGGAGGGGTTGAAATGTGGTTGGGAGAGTAGGAAAGATCGAGGAACAAAGGGTGTGACAGATGGCAAAAGCGGCTTGTAATAGCCTTGAGCAGGGAGGCAGGCAGGCAGGCCGGCAGGCAGCCTGACAGGCTAGCAGATCATTGCCTCTCCCAACCTTACATCACTTTGCTTTGCAGCATTTTCTCACAGCTCGATCCTCCTGCGTCCTCTCTCAAATCATCGTCACTCTCCCTCTCTCAATCTCATTTCCCCAAATTCATTCCTCCTCGGTCCCCCCTCCCATCCCACCCCCTCCCCCACGAGCAGGTGTTTCGGCTGGAGAGTGTGCGAGTGGACGCGTGGGGGCGAGTGTTCAACGGCACCACTCTCTTCCACTCCAACGCCTGCCCTGCTCCCTCCCACCTCCCCAGCCCTGCCAACCCAAGCAACAACCACCACCTCATCAGTGACAGTCAAGTGCAACACCAGCAGCAGCAGCAGCAGCGCCAACAACAACAGCAGCCCTACATTCGGGCGTCTATCCCGCGCCCCAACCTGCACCTACCCCTGGCGATGAACCAAATCCTACCACACCCCTTGCACGCTAACGACCCTCTTGTGCACTACCTGCTGCTGCTGCTCGCCCTGCACTCCTCCCTTGCTGCCATGCCCCTCATGTCCTTTCTTGTCGCAGATGCAACAGGAACAAGGGGGGGGGGGGGGGGGGGGCAGGGGACGACTGGGTGGTCAGCCTGCGCACAGTGGGGGGCTCAGCCGCTTTGGACCTGCTGACAGTGAAGCGCACGTTCAACCGCGCGCGCGTGTTTGTGGCCCCGCACGCCCCGCTGCTCAACCACATGGTCTTCATGCCGCCCCGTGCCGTGGTGCTGGAGTTGCGGCCGCAGGGGGCGCAGGGGAGCGAGTATGCGGTGTTTCATCGGCTGGCGGATGCGTGTGGGTTGGATTACCATCTGCTGCTGTGTCAGGGGGAGGTGCCCTGGAGAATGGGGCTGGGGAATATGAGCAGAATGGAGGTTCTAAGAGGGATAGCAAACAAAAAGCTTTGGAGAAAGAGATGTTCGGTAAAATTGTGGATCGGATTAAATATCCAAAGATGAGGAATTTGATGAGATTTTGCTACATGATTTCCATGTACCATTCAAAGTACCGTACAAGTTATCAATTGATGCTGGCCTCTACAACCCACATTCTTGGAGTACGGGCATGTGCAGCCACATGTGGAAGAGTGAAAACTTTCAGTAAGGAGAATGCTCCTGTAAACGGAAAGTGATATAGTGTAGGTAGATGATCAGAATGTAACTTCTTTAAACGGAGAGTTCACAAAAGCGCTTGCCGCAGAGCGAGCAGGCGCGACGAGCATCAAATGTTGGGCTTTGCTGCCTTCGCATCACACGGCAATGTGTGGTGAAGCGAAGTCATAGCGAAGTCATTTATTTTCCTTCCTTGATGCACCAGTCCATGTGTTCCAGCATTTAGCCATACAGCACGGTTCCCTTTCCACCTTTACGAGCATCACGGCCTTGAATACGAGCTTCGCACGTCCAGGAACAGTCATGACGAACACGAAATCTGACCGTTGATTTTCAAGATCCGCTCGGGTCGGGCTACTTTGGTTCGGTTCCCACGGAGTCTTGCTCAGCTTCGCGTTATTTTTTTTCGAAGCCTAGTATCTTTTTGGCGCACCCTCGACAGTTCAGATTCCCCAAAAATGCTTTGCAGCGTACAGTCACACAGCACTCGACTTTGACGAGACGTGCAGGCTGAAAAAAATGGCGAGCGAGGGGGAGCGCGTGGCGGCATGCGCCGCACCATGGCCCTCCTGAAGGGCATGGCGGCCACAGCGGAGAAGAGTGAGGGGGAGGAGGCGGGAAAGGGGAGTGCGTCGCGGGAGGCAGCGGAGGGCATTGGCGCGCAGCCGCTCAAAGGCGCCTGGGAAAATATTATCGCTGCGCTGGAAGTGGAGGAGGTGAACATCGCGAAAAAGGACTTGCTTCCAGGTTGCGGGAAACTTGCAAAAATGTTACTTTCTGCAACACAACTGCAACTTAGCGGACACTCGTTGGATACTTTGAGTATGGGCCATTTTCAGGTGCGATCCCAACAGTACGGGAAACGTACCCAGGTGGGAGCCCAACAACTTTTCGGCACTGTTAGTGCACTGTTACGGCACTGTACACGCGTGCCGCAACAGACCCTGGTAATGACTCGCCACTCACTGACTGTAATAGCTGACGAACTTTTTGTCCCTGACACAGCACTGACGGAATTTGAACAGACAACATGGCCAAGCCAGACTGCTGGCGCGCGAAACCACAACCCCAGACTGTGGTGTATGTGTGTGTGTGTGTGTGTTTGTGTGTGTATATATATGTGTGTGTGGATGTGTGTGGATATGTATGTGTGTGTGTGGGTGTGTGTATGTGCATGTAGGTGTGTGGTTGTGTAGGTGTGTATGTGTAGGTGTGTGTATCTGTGTGTATGTGTGTGTGTGTGTAAGGGTGTGGTTGTGTAGGTGTGTGTGTGTAGGTAGGTATGTGTTGGTGTGTGTGTGTTGGTATATATGTGTGTGTATAGGTCTGTGTGTGTGTATAGGTGTAGGTGTTTGTATCTGTGTGTGTGTGTGTATAGGTGTAGGTGTTTGTATGTGTGTGTGTGTCTGTGTAGGTATGTGTGTGTGTATAGGTGTGTGTGTGTGTATATGTAGGTGTATATGTGTAGGTATGTGTGTGTAGGTGTGTGTAGGTGTAGGTATAGGTGGTGTATGTGTGTGTGTGTGTGTTTGTGTGTGTATATATATGTGTGTGTGGATGTGTGTGGATTTGTATGTGTGTGTGTGTATGTGCGATGCGTATGTGTGTATGTGTGTGTATGTGTGTATGTGTGTGTATGTGTGTTTATTTGTGTGTGTGTGTATGTGTGTGTATGTGCGTATAGGTATGTGGTTGTGTAGGTGTGTATGTGTAGGTGTGTGTGTCTGTGTGTATGTGTGTGTGAGTGTAAGGGTGTGGTTGTATAGGTGTGTGTGTGTAGGTAGGTGTGTATTGGTGTGTGTGTGTTGGTATATATGTGTGTGTATAGGTGTGTGTGTGTATAGGTGTAGGTGTTTGTATGTGTGTGTGTGTAGGTATATGTGTGCGTATAGGTGTGTGTGTGTGTATATGTAGGTGTATATGTGTAGGTATGTGTGTGTAGGTGTGTGTAGGTGTACGTATAGGTGGTGTATGTGTGTGTGTGTATTTGTGTGTGTATATATATGTGTGTGTGGATGTGTGTGGATTTGTATGTGTGTGTGTGTGTGTGTATGTGCGTTGCGTATGTGTGTGTGTGTGTATGTGTGTATGTGTGTATGTGTGTGCATGTGTGTTTATTTGTGTGTGTGTGTAGGTGTATGTATGTGCGTGTAGGTGTGTGGTTGTGTAGGTGTGTATCTGTAGGTGTGTGTGTCTGTGTGTATGTGTGTGTGTGTAAGGGTGTGGTTGTGTAGGTGTGTGTATGTAGGTGTGTGTGTGTTTGTATGTGTGTGTGTATATGTGTGTAAGTGTATGTATGTATGTAGGTGTTTGTATGTGCGTGTGTGTGTGTGTAGGTATGTGTATTGTCATGCTTTTATACTTAGTATAGATATAATAAGATAGGTGCATGACATTGTGAAGGAGCGTAATAGACTGTAGAGAAGTAAGGGGGAAAAGGGGAATGCTCGAGCGGGAACACAAAGCGAGCCGTGCGAAAGCACCGTTGCTCGGCAACGGTAACCACCGCTCACAATTACTTAAGCAGTAGCGCAAGTAGGGGATCTTTGCTTGCGAGTTTGTTTTCACACTAAGCTACAATTCAGGCTGGCGAAACCCCTAGCACCTAGTGGAAGCAATCTCCTCTCAGAGAGTAGAGGAGATTTTAACAAACTCGCAAGGAAAAGCTAGCGTAAGAAGCAATGACCGACGAGTTTCGACTCAACTCTAGACTGAGTTACGCCAGAGAAAGCCAGCAAGCAACGCCCAGCTGGAGAGCGCAACCGAGGGTAGTGACGACGGGCGACGGACAGACCGCCGATCGCCAAAGCCCGCGGCTAACTCCCCTGTCGTATCGCACCCCGCACCAGAGAGCGCGAGAAGGAGTACGCGAAATGGAGGAGAAGCGACACATTAGTTCGGATCCAGGAGGAACCCCGATCAACCCGCAATGGGCGAGCGAAGCAAGAGCGCGGTGGGAGACCAGATACGAAACCCGGTCGCCGAGGACGATGCCGGGAATGGGAAGGCAAGCCGGAGAAGAGAAGGAGGAGTGGGCTCAGCGGAACGACAGCGGGGGACAGCTGACCCCGCGAGACCGCGCGCTGATGGAAAGCAGAGTCGCGATCCCGACTGACGCACGGCCTCGCCCAGAATCTCCCAAGGCACATCGCTGGACCACCGCCGGACTGCCCAAGATCGAAGTCGCCGAGCGATTCACAGGAATTCCAGGAGTGGGACCGTCGCTGAAAAACTACCTTATGCAGCTGGAGACGGTCAAGTACTGTTGGGAGAGAGACGGCATGGATCCCGGTGAGTTCTTCAGACGCATGGTGGTGACGCTCTCGGGAGAAGCGGAGACCTACTATCGGATGGTGCGTCAGGAGATACTGGAGGAAGCAGAATGCCAAGAAATAGAGAACCCGACGGCGAGGTTCCTAGAGATGCTGAAAAAAGAGTTCCTGGGGCAAACCAAATCGCGAGTAGAGGAGTTCCGCGAGTTCCGCCGGAAGAAGGACGAGTCCCTGCTCGCGTACTACTGCCGGCTGAAAGAGTTGGCCGACGACCTGGAGTGTAAGGAGGAGAGACTGCTGGTGCGCAAGTTCGTGCGCGGATTGGACGAGGAGCTGAAGGGGGTGGTGCGCAACAACGTGTACGGAATTGGAGCTGACATTACACTGAAGGAGGTGTATGGGTTGGCGAAGAGGACAGAACATGCGCAACGCCTGCTTGACCTCGAGGACGGAGAGACGCGGACGAAGCCCAAAACGACCTGGGCGGCAGCCGCGATGCTGGAGCCAGAGCAAGCCGCGGTGAGCCGCCCAGACAGCAGGAGATGCCACGAATGCGGAGACGCGGGACACCTGAAGCGGGATTGCCCGAAAGCTCCCACCTGCGAGAATTGCGGAAAGCGGGGGCACAAAAGGGCGGAGTGCTACAGCAGGAAGAGAGAAGAGGGGCCGGAGACAAGGGAAGGGCTGCAAGCAGAGATCAAGCGGTTGCAGCTGAAGCTGGAAGGAAGGGGGACCTCCACGCACAAGGAGAGAGCCATGCTGGCATACGAGGAAGTGGAGGGAGTAGAGGAGGAAGAGGAAGAATACATCAAGGAGTACTCCTGCACGCGAAAGAGACGAGATAGACCTGAGGCCCCGAAACCCAACGACGCAAGAGAGTGGCACGACGGCAGAGAGAAGCCGGCGATACGAGCGAGCGGGGGGAGGCAGCGGAACGGGGATGCGCAGGCACCCAAACGAGCGGCTGGTCTGCCAAGCCTCCGTCCTCATAGCCGACAAGGGCAGCCTGACGGTAGGAGGCCTGCCCGTGGGGCAGGCCATCATAGATACCGGAGCCCACCACGTTCTGATCGGCAAGGGCCTGGCGAAGCACCTGAAGCTGGATCTACCAGGACGCCTGGTAGAGAGAGGTATTCTTCTGATTACCGCCGAAGGGGGGGAGCCGAAATGGATGCCACGCACCCGCAGGCCCATTGAGGTGGTACTGCTGCCAGGGACAGAGAAGGAGTGTTGCATCAGGCTCAACTGCGGGGTCTCGGAGTCAGAGGACTATGACATACTGGTGGGCATGGAGCTCCTCTACAGGGTGGGGGCCACCATATGCACTTGGCAGGAAAAGGTTCTCTACAGAGTGCATTACTGGGACCCAGAGAGCTCGGTCGGCACTCTACCAGTGAAATTCGTAAGGCAGGAGCCGAGGGAGGCGTACCAGGCGCAGAGGAAGGACCTGTCGGAGGAGCTAGACGACTGGAGCTGGGAGCAGTACGCAGAGGAGTACGAGGGCAGGACCGAAAGGAGAGCGAGAGGGGAAGATCCGCCCTCCCTGAAGGAACGGGTGAGCAGAGTGTGGGCACTGGAGAGTGCCCTCTGTGTACTGGAGCTGTATGGAGGCATCGGGACGGGCTTGGCGGCGGCACTGAAGGCGGGCTGCTTCGTCCGGAAGTGGGTACATGTGGAGAAAGACCCAGTGGTCCGGAGGATGGCCAGGCATCACGCCTTGAAGCTGCTAGAAGACTACCCCCAGCAGATGTTAAGTACAGCCATCCCCGCAGAAGATGAAGCCTCCGTGGATGACGTGAGGGATATCACCGAGGAGCAGCTGGAGAGATGGGGGCAAGTGGATCTAGTGGTGGCCGGATGGGAGTGCCAGGGGTACTCCCGTGCGGGGGAAGGAAGAGGGATGGAGGACCCACGGGGTGCTTCCTTCAGGGATCTGCAGAAGGTGCTGGAGATGATACAAAGGAAGCAAGGAGAGGTAATCTACATCCTGGAGAATGTAGACCTGGCGGAGGACAGGAGGGAGCCCGTGAAGCTAGCCTTTGCAGAGATAGAGGCGGCAGTGGGAAGAGGGGTGGCAGTGGACGCCGCCCAGCTAGGATCCAGGGCGCATCGGCCCAGGAGATACTGGCAGAACGGGGTGTCAGAAGCTAGCCTGAGACACTCCCTGGCCCAGATGCAGCGCCCGGAACCAAGGCTGGTGAGCGATATCCTGGGGCCTAACAGACTGCCGGCGCCCGTCAAGATCCCAGACCATCCTTCACAGTACCAATGCAATGAGCCCGGAAAGCCACGGCAGGCGCTGCCCACCCTGGTCGCGTACGAAGGATCCTGGGGTTTCCGCATGGAGGGAGATCTCCCAGGGCCAGGAATGATCTACGACGTCAGAGCCGGGAAATGAGATGAGCCGACTGCACGGGAAAGGGAAGCAGCCATGGGGCACAGGTGGGACGCCACGGCACATCCGAGAGTGACAGAGAAGCAGAGAAGAGCGGCGATAGGGAGGGCGATGGACCTCAACGTCATGAGCTGGCTGATTGAGACGATTCGCATGCACCTCAAGATGAAAGACATTCAAAGGGAGATAGAGATAAGCGTGAGATACCAGGAGGACTTGGAAGTGGAGAGGGGAAAAAGGCAGCTGCAAGCCATGGAGGAGCAGCAGGAAGAAAGGATCAGAGAAGGCTGGGCATGCATGGCCATGGAATGCGAAGGAGGAGAGAAGAGAGAGGAAGAGGCTGAGGAGGAGACGAAGGCAGGAGCAGTGAAAGAAAGGGAGAGGACACCAGAAGAGGAATGGCCCATAGGCTCAGGAATGGGGGCAGCAGCAGCCAGGGAACTACAAGAGGTGTTAAGGCAACACCGACAGTGCTTCGCCTACACGCTGCAGGAGCTAGGAGAATGCAAGTCACACGTCATGGAAATCAAGCTCACCACGGAGATACCGATCTACCAGAGGAAGAGACGGATGAGCCCAGGAGACATCGACATATGCATGGAAAAGTGCGCGGAGCTGCTAGAGGCAGGGTTGATCCAGCGCTAAGAAAGTGACTACGCAGCAGCGACAGTAGTGGCCTCGAGGAAGGACCTCATAGGGGAGGTGTCGGCGAGGAGAATGTGCGGGGATTACAGGGGCCTGAACAAGGTCACCGTGGCAGACCGATACCCCATGCAATCCGCCGAAGAAATCTTTGACAAGCTACAGGGGGGCCAGCGGCAACAAACTCAACACCCGCCACCGGCGGAACGGGGGGCAGGCGGAGACGAGACCTAGAAGCGGCAACCGAGGCAGCAGGGGCGGGAGCCGATGGAGCAAGGACGGGGAGAGGAAGTACAGCAGCTGGTGGAAGGTCTACGGGAGGTACGGCCTGTCGAGGAGCCACATGCGCCGGCGCCGCCCGCAGCGAACTGCTCTGGCTCTGCGCCACCCTCTCCTCGCGCACGGCCCTCGACACCTCCCTTTGAAGATCCGCCATTGTCACAGGCGGGCGGAATGCCCCACCACCTCCGCGACCACGCGGACCCCTCCAGCCCCCATTGCCACCGTGGTGAGCGGGCCACAGGGCCTGCGGCTGGTAGCGCCGGGGAGAGTTGCGCCGGTGCCGCGTCGACTCGCGCTCCTGCTGGGGCGCAGGAGAATGGGGGCGAGATGGTCGGCGGTCAGGCGACTGGGGACGAGACGACTGCACCACTTGGGTCGCCGGCAGCACAGCGGGTGCAGGCGGGTCCACGACCGGAGGCGCAACCAACGGAGCCGGGCCGCCAGTGGTGGCGAACGCCGCCTTCGGGGACGAAGCAGACGCCGGCGCAGCCACGACGGGGACAGAAGCGGTCGGTGCAACGTGGGCGCCAGGGGCAGGAGCAGGGGGAACAGCAACTTCCCCAGCAGGAGCAGACGCCGTTGGCGCAACAACGGGAGCAGGAGGACTGGGAGCATCAGTTGGAGCAGGCGGAGCAACAACAGGGGCAGACGGGCCAGCCTCGCTCACGCCAAGGGGATCCGCGGATTCGAGGGGAAGAGTCCTTTCAGCATCTGTTGTCACGGGCTTTGGAGCAGACGGCGGCGGGGACACCGTCGCCATGGTCCCCGTTTCGGAGGCAGACGACGGTTTTCCGAACGCAACCGACGCACCGCCAGCGCGCATTGGCGAGTAATCGGTCACTCCAGCAATCACCATCGCGAGGCCGGGGAGCGCGAGGCGGAGGGCGAGAAGTGGCTAGCGGACAGGGAGGAGGGCCGGAGAATGGCTACCAGGCGGAGGCACGAAGGGCTTTAACCAGACTAGATAATGACGATGACAAAACTACGGACCCCTCTTATAGGGAAGAGCCCATGCCAGCAAGTGAGGATGAAGGGACAGAAGGAGAGGAAGGAGTAAGGGAGACCGCTGGGAGGATGGGAGCAGGGACAAGGCAGTCCCAAGCAGTGCGAGCGGACCCTGCACGCGGACCGTCCGATGCTGATCGTACGGGCGAGTTTCCAACCACAACACCACAAGCCAGAACGAGACGCACTGGGCGAAATCGGACCGCGACAGACACGGCTGCGGCGCGAGAAAATCCCCAACCCCCGCGCTATTTCACGCCAGAGGAGCTGGCGATACGGACTGACTGGTTCGCGGACATCGCGAACTGGGATATCCCTGCCCTTTGCGACAGTCGGCAGCCACTCTTGGCACGACGGTTACCGCCAAATCTGTGTCAGTTGTTTTCGCTGGCGCTACTGACCCCGTTACTCCACCTGTCACAAAACCCAGAGTCCGAGGCTGGTTGGCGCCTCCTCCTCTTTCTCCCGCGTCTGACGCTTCGCCAAAAATCGCCACAGCGACCGAGCTGGCCCCAGAGCAAGGCACGACTCCGAGCCTTCCAACGTGGCGAGTGGGACGAACTGTACAAAGACGCGATTGACGCAGTCAACACACCTGCACCGCCGCGTCATCAACCCGATGCTACCGGGGTCATCAGCCGAGCCGAGAGCCTGGCGAAGCGGGGCAGCCTGCGCCGAGCCGTGTTGGCGTTAGAGTCAACCCCAGTCTGCACACCGAACCCCGAAATCATGGACGAGCTTCGTCGGAAACACCCGCCAGCCGAACCAGGGACGACAACGTGGCCACCCACACGAGAGTCAAAGCTGTCAATCAACCACGCGGATTTCGCAAAACTTCTGGGGAGATGCGAGAATTGATAAACACCATTTTGGGGGGCAACCTGCCAGGACCGGTGGCGGACCTACTGACAGCCTCACGTCTCATAGCCCTGGCCAAACCTGGGGGAGGTGCTCGACCAATTGCCATCGGCGAGTGCATCACCCGGCTGGCAGCCAAGGCAGCTCTCGCAGCTATGGGCGACGCAGCCCGTGACTACTTCCTGCCCCTACAGTACGGGGTGGCTGTGCCAGGGGGAGCCGAGGCAGTTATCCACGTGGCGCGGGCGTATCTGGACAAACTTCCCAGCAGCCTGGTACTGCAGACCGACATTTCAAACGCATTCAACAGTATATCTCGACAAGCCATCGCAACGGCGTTACATGAGCCCGGGCTTTCGCCACTAGTGCCGCTGGTGAAACTGACTTACGGTAACCCGTCCAAGTTGCATCTCGATGCCAATTTCGAATGCGACCCACTTGTCAGAACATTATAGCTCATGCATATTGTGTAAGCTATAGTGGGGTAGCCCATAAGGGGTACAACCCAATTAGGGTTAGTACTTGTACCCAATTCATTCATAGTTCATTCATTCCTTGTTTCTTCTCATGGTATTGAGCAGGTTCCCTAGTGGGAACGCTTTCTAGGGCCCACCACGAAATTTTTTTTTCCTGCCCGGAGCGCGCTTCGCTCCCACAGTCGCGCCCTCTCACGACCCCTCACGGCCCCTCGCGTCGCCCTTAGCGGCCCCTTACGGCCCCTCGCGCCGTCCCTTACGGCCCCTAGCGCGGCCCCTTACGGCCCCTTACGGCCCCTAGCGCGGCCCGTCGGCCCCTTACGGCCCCTTACGGCTCCTAGCGCGGCCCCTCGTGCCGCCCGTCGGCCCCTTACGGCCCCTTACGGCCCCTCGCGCGGCCCCTTACGGCCCCTTACGGCCCCTTACGGCCCCTCGCGCCGCCCGTCGGCCCCTTACGGCCCCTTACGGCCCCTCGCGCGGCCCCTTACGGCCCCTTACGGCCCCTCGCGCCGCCCGTCGGCCCCTCGCACCGCCCTCAGCGGCCCCTTACGGCCCCTTACGGCCCCTCGCGCCGTCCCTTACGGCCCCTCCCGCGGCCCCTCACGCCCCCCCCCCCCCCTACGGCCCGTCGCCGCCCTCCGCGGCCCCTCGCGCCGCCCCTTCACGGCCCGTCGCCGCCCTCCGCGGCCCCTCACGCCGCCCCTTCACGGCCCGTCGCCGCCCTCCGCGGCTCCTCGCGACGCGGCCCCTCGCCGCAGCGGCCGCCGCCGTCCCTGCATCAGCAGCCGCAGCCGTCGCCAGCAGCAGCCGCCACCATCTCCCTCGGGGCCGTGGCTGCTGCCGCAGCTGACTGCACCCGCCGACGCCGCTCCACTCGGCCCCGCCGCCGCTCCCCACGCGGCCTCGCCGCGCCACCTGAGCCGCCCGGGCCTGCCGAGCCGCCGTACCGCCCGAGCCGCCGTACCGCTCGAGCCGCCCGAGCCGCCGTGTCGCCGAGCCGCGCTTGCTGCCGAGCCGCCATACCGCCGAGCCGCCCGAGCCGCCCGAGCCGCCGAGTTGCCGAGCCGCCGAGCAGCTGAGCCACCCGAGTCGCCCTGTCCGGTAAGTGCAGCGCCTCTGTCCCTGCACTGCCCTCACCCTACTGTTTGCGCTGCTAGTCTACTGCTGTCATGGCTACCCCTAGTGTCCTCGCCTTTGACGCTGAGGGTCGGGCCATTGACTTTGACGTCTGGGTAGATGACCTGCAGCTTTTCCTACAGTGCGATAGGGCAGACGGTCTCTCCCTCTTTGACCTCACCTCTGGTGCCTCTCCTGCCCCTGCTGCTGATGCCGACGCCACTGTTCGCTCACAGTGGGCCACTCGCGATGCTGCTGCACGTCTTGCTGTGCGTCGCCACCTCTGAGCGTGCGCACTTTAGCCAGTACAAGTGTGCTCAGACCTTGTACGACGCTGTAGTTGCGCGCTACTCCTCCCCTGCCACTGCTGCACTGAGCCGCCTCATGCTACCGTACCTCTTCCCTGACCTTGCTGCCTTTCCCACAGTCGCTGACCTCATTACGCACCTCCGCACTAGTGACACTCGCTACCGCGCTGCGCTTCCTGCTGAGTTCTGCGCCAAGAACCCCCCCCCCATGTACATCACCCTCTACTACATAGTCACCCGGCTCCCTGACTCCCTTCGCGTAGTCAGGGACCACTTCCTCTCCGTTTGCCCCACCACTCTCACCGTTGACCTCCTCGAGAAGTCCCTCCTAGCAGCAAAGAAGAGCATAGTCGCTGTAGGAGCCTCTCGTGGTGACCCTCGTACCCCCATCTTTGAGGGGTGTTCCCCCTCCCCCCTTTTGCCCTCTGTTGCCTCTGCTGCTGCGGCCGACCTCGTTGGGCTTGAGTCGGTCGGTGCGGCGTCTACCCCTAGCGGGAGACGTCGCCCTGGCAAGGGCAAGGGGGGCAGGGGCACTGGAGGAGCTAGCGGGGGCGGTGGAGGTGGCGGTGGAGGCGGTGGAGGGGGTGGGGGTGGTGGTGGGAGTGGTGGCGGGGGCGGAGGTGTCGGTGGCGGCAGTGGAGGCGGAGGCGGCGGTGGCGGTGGCGGTGGGAGCGGAGGTGGCGGCGGTGGAGGAGGAGGCGGCGGAGGAGGTGGAGCTGGTCGGGGTGGCGCTGCACAGAGGGGCGGCTCCGGTGGTGGTCAGCGCCAGCAGCAGCAGCAGCAGCAGCGCACTCGTGACATCCCCTCCCCTCAGCAGCTCCGTGAGTGGTACACTGCACGCCAGAGGGGTGGGGGTACTGGCCCGTGCACCTACGTCCTACGCACCGGCGACCGCGCGGGTGAGCAGTGCGGGGGTGCGCACTCCACCCAGCGCTGCTTTGGCCGCCTGACGGACGCTTGGCGTCACCAGTTCCCTGAGGCCACTGAGATCCCCCGCTGGGGTGAGCTGTCTAGGGCGGGTGTAGCTGTCTTTGACCTTGACTTTGATGCTATTCTTGCTGCCATGTATACTGTGACTATTAGTGATGAGGGTGACTGTTACCGGTGTTTTCCGCCCGACCCGGGCATTGAGACTGCTGCTCTAGGTACTGGTGAGGCTGCTGCTCTAGGTGCTAGCGAGGCTGCTGCTCTAGGTGCGTCTGCTCCCTCAGGTGCTGGTGAGTCTGCTCTCTCAGGTTCTGCGTCGGCTTCGGCCTCCCACACCTTCACCCTTGACTCGGGGGCTTCTCGCTCCTTCTTTCGAGACCGCACCACACTCACGCCGCTTGACCGGCCAGTTGCAGTCTCTCTGGCAGACCCCTCTGGGGGTCCTGTCCTTGCTCACTTCTCCACTGTCCTCCCGTGTCCGGCGGCCCCCTCTGGCACCCTTTCTGGTCTTTACCTTCCCTCGTTCTCTACGAACTTGGTGAGTGGTGCTGACCTACAGGATGCGGGGGTTCACCAGTTCACTCCTGCGAGTCAGCGGGTGACCCACTGCACGGACGCTCGGACAGGCCGACACCTGGCCACGTTTACCCGTCGGCCGGGGTCGAGCCTGTACACCCTGACCACTGCGTCTCCTCCAGTCACTGCGTCTGGTCAGGTAGCTGCGTCGGGTCAGGTGTTTGCTGCAGCGTCCAGGTCTGGTCTTGAGTCTGCCCCCTGTTCGTGTCGCCTCCTGTCTCACGAGACTCTCCTCTGGCACCACCGCCTTGGTCACCCCTCCCTGCTTCGTCTCCGAGGCATGGCCTCCCGTGTCCTTGTCTCTGGTCTTCCCCGGTCCCTCCCTCCCCTTCCTCCGGGGCCTGGCCCTACCTGCGTCCCCTGTGTCGAGGGGCGGCAGCGGGCTGCCCCTCACTCCTCCCAGTTTCCTCCGACAGAGGCCCCGCTGCAGACGCTTCACATGGACGTGTGGGGCCCGGCCCGCGTCCGTGGACAGGGTCACGAGCGCTACTTCCTGCTGGTGGTTGACGACTACTCGCGTTACACCACAGTCTTCCCCTTGCGCAGCAAGGGTGATGTCACTGAGGTGTTGATCGACTGGATCCGCGCAG